AATTTTTTTTCTTTTTTTCTTTTTTTAATTTGCAACCTCTAGATCTCTGTTTAGGTAGATGGATTTGAAGTTGAATTTATAAAATTTAAGTGAATTTAAAAATTAAAGGACAAGATAAATTAGAGATAAAAAAGAGGAGTATTTTTATTAATTTTTTTTGTAGAATTAGAACGGTTGACATGCAGAATCTTAAATAATTGTTCACGCTTCTTACTTCAATTCATCATCACATAACTCTCAAATTCATTGTATAAATTTATATCTAAACTGCTCCATTAAATTTGAGTTTTTCTTTTAAAATAATTAGTGACAAATTTCATTTTAAATTTATAAATCCAATCACAACATAAATTAATTATTCTTAGAATTGTCAATCAAAAAATCAAATTGCCAAATGAAGCTTTTTTTTTTTCATTGCTCCCTTCTCTGTCTCAAATTCTCACAATCGTTGTATTATGTTTAGAAATTTTATATTTTATACTTCATATGATTTGATAATTATAAATATTTTGAAACATAGGAACAACAAAATGTAAAAACAGACTTAAGAAAACAAAAATAAAATAAAATAAAATAATATTTTAAAAATAGACAATCTTTGAATGTTGCTTACAAACAATGAACATTACCTCATGATTTAATCTTATTTGGGGTGCCCATCCTTTAACCTTGTAACTCCTGGGTTATATTTACATATATGGATTTAAAATAAAGAAATTTGGCATTATTCATTCAAGGAGTATTTTCTTTAAATTTGATAAGTTTAAATTGATAGATTTGAAATAACATGGTGAACAAAATTACTTTATATCCTTTCATGAATGATAGTACTTGTAAAAAAGTTATTAATAAAATGCATGTCTCCTATCTTTGTTTAGAATTATTATCATTCTACTACCTCTATTTATTAAACTTTCCATGATTTTATTGATTTCAAATCTTTCATGTCAAATCCACTTCCCAAAACAGAGCCCTAATGTTCATGAAAGGAGGATTTGATTTTTGATCTACTAGTTAAGCTAGTTGATACATTCTGAATTTGGACTAAAATGGTCAATAAAAGTAAAATATGTTAAAATAATTAATAAGATAAATTGTTACATCCAAACCATAATCATTTCATTTTTTTTCTTACAACCATCAAATCAATTAAAAAAAACAATTAAATAGCCAAAAAATTAAGGGGAATTTATCACTAAGTCCCACCGTAGGAACATGTGATCCATTTGGTCCCACACAATAACTGTTTGATTCTGAAGTCCCGTTTGTGCGTGATTTGTTACTAGCAGGTCCTGTTTTAAACATGAATGGGTGATTCTTTGCCGAAAATACCCTCGCATGTTTTGTGGGATGTTTTTGGTCATATTTGGTATGTGTAATCCCAAGTCTTGCGGAATGCGAAATTTCAGTACACTAAAATTTCAAAGTTTGGGGATAGGGTTGTTGGTTCAGTCTACTGATTGAGGGGGACGAAGATTTTTTTCACCCAAACATGAACCCAACAAATGAATAACTTGCGTGAACCCAAAATTGGATATGGTGGCCACACACTGACAAGAATACTCCTCATGATCTTAAAATGGTGCCTCCTGAGCATTCTCAGTTCCAGACATCTTCATCACTATCCATGGCCAAGCATGGAGCTCGAACCAAAGCGGCGTTGTTTCTCTCCGACAGCCTTCTATTCGTCGGTAGAGCTTTGGTGGCTCTTCTAACAATTTGGGCTCTATTGTCCTTCGTAAACCCTAACCCCAGTTCTGGTTTCTTAGTGAACGAAGCGAAGGCATCGATTTCTTCGGAGAAGCGAGATTGCGCTAGAGGTGCGCACATGGTTAACTTGCGCGACGATGACCCCGACATTCTACGACGACCCGGCAATGAACTATGACGTGAACCCGACAAGTGTGCGTCGGCTTCGTGAACCCGGCAATGAACTATGACGTGAACTCGGCAAGTGTGCTTCGGTGTCGGTTACCGAAATGAACTATGACGTGAACCCAGCAAGTGTGCTTCGGCGTCAGTTACCGATATTCTCACGACTCTCGGTTCGGCGGCATTCATCTCCGGCAGCTTTCTCCTCACTGTCGTGGTTTGCTGTCGATGTTCACTATACTTCACTATGCTCCGATCCATATCTCTACAGATTTCTCAAATTCGCATTGAAAGGCACAGAGAATAAGAGCGTGAAATAGTGGTTGTAGAAACAGAAAAGATTCGTTGAATATTTGACATGAAGAGAATAAAGAGAGGTTTTGCATAGAGGAAAGTGTGTTTGAGGAGAAGAAATGTTGAGGAAAGTTACAGAAACGAACCCACTCACTCACTCCATCTATAACGTGGGTTTGAACTATAACGTGAACCCACTCATGCCATCTACAACGTGGGTTTCAAAATTCAGGTTGTGAGAAATTCGAAATGGAAATCTGAAATCATTTTAGTGTGTGTATTTCGCGTGTTCACGTCACGTACGAATCCACGTTTTACTTCTGTGAGTGTTACAAACCTATTAAATTAAAAAAGGTATTAGTGCGCTTTTCCGATCAACGTGACACACAAACACCCATTCACCTTTCCCATACAAACCCACACCAATCAACCAATAATACTAGCAGTGGCAAAACAGTCAACAAACAAATTAAGGGACCATCCAGTCACCAAGAAAACATTTAGGACTTTATGGATTACAAGTCCACAAAATGGGATTTACTGGTCAATTCCCCTAAAATATTAAGTAAAATAGCCTACTCTCAAACGGGGCCTTTGACTCCATTTGTTCTTTGAAATGAACAAAAATAAAATTAATTGAGGAATATATATATATATATATATATTGCATGAAAGTAGAATATGAAAGATATTTGAGGGAAAACGTAAGAAAAGCAAGCCTGGGTTTGGTTCTCTTTTGAAATTGTAATTCCAATCTAAAAATTTCAAAATTCTTTTTCAAAGGTTGGTTTGGCATAAACTATAAATAATACAAAAAGTCAAAAAGTCACTATCCTATTTAAGTCACATCATCTTATTTAAATCACATCACCTCTCTAACACATCACATCAAACCCAACCCAAACCCAACCCATATAAGCCAATAAGTCAAAAAGTGCACTTTTTTAGAACATCCCAAACCAACCTTTATAACCAAATACACAACTCAAAACTCAATTCAAAAATTATTTTCAAAACTCATAAAAACATCTCCAGTGGTTTGCTATTGGAGCTGTCAAAGCCATTTAATAGCAGGTGCAAGGCAAAAGTGTTCTCCAATGGTAAGCTTTGGCAACTGCCAAAGCTGCCAAGTCACCAAAACCAACCGTTTCCTCCCTCCCTCCCTTTCTCATCATCATTCCTAACAAAATTTTTCAAAATAGAAACAAAATTCACCTAAAAATAATAAGTTCTGAAGCTAAAAATTTTAGAATCAATAAACAATTTGAAGCCAAAAAAAATTGAATTTTAGGAATTTCAAGCAATATGAATCAATCAATTTCAGGAATTTCAAGCAATCTAAAGCAAAAATAAAAATTGAATTTCTACAACTATATACTAAAAATTACCTACAATTTGAAGATTCTTTGGCTTCATCTTCGTGTTTGGATTATCTTCGTTAAAGCTTCTGATTGATCTTCTTCTTCTTTGGATGGTCTTCATTAGGGTTTCGGGTTTAGATCATTTTTGAGAGAGAGGGATCGTTAGAGAAGAGGTTTAGAATAGAGGGAGAGAGAGATCAAAGAGGGAGAGAGAGGACCATTTTCATTAGAGTTAGGGTTTGGATCATTGGAGAAGAGGGTTTAGAACGGAGGGAGAGAAAGATTGAAAAGGAAGACAATGAGAAGAATGTGAGAGACAGGGGGTTGTGGTGGAGAAGAGAGTTAGAGAAGGAAATGTGGGATTTGAGGGTTCAAGATCGGCGGTGGTTGTGGTAGTCCTTTTGCTGGTTGTGGTAGTAGTGCTTCTGCTAGTTATGGTGGTAGTAGTTCTTGTGGTTGTGGTGGTGGTTATGGTGATGAAGAATGTGAGAGACAGGTGAGAGAATAGAAGGGGAAGAATGGAGAGGGTAAAAGAAGGGGAGAGAGATAAAGATGGTAAAAGAGAAGGAGAGAGAGGCAACACATTGCTATTCCGGAATATGGAGAGAAAGAGAGAGAGAGAGAGAGAGATGAATATAGAGAGGAGCCAACTTGGGAGATGGGTTCAGATGATTCTAGGGGGTTCATCAACGGTTCTTTTTTGTCATTAGAATGCACAAATTGATCAATAGCTCTTTTTCTTCGTCCCTCAAAAGTTTGAAGCTATAAATTAAACTGATAAAAAAAAATTTAAAAAAAAACGTGTCATATTTTTACTCCCTATAAATATAAACAACCAATTTCAATTTGAATTCACAAATTTCAATCTACATAATATTTTTCTTTTTTTTTTTTTTACACAATCAGTATGGAAGATTCATTAAAAACAAAGAGAGGAAAATCATTCACCACTCAAATGTAGCGCCCCCCCAAAATATTACAATAAGATAATCAGTTGTAGCACCCCCAAAATATTACAGTAAGATAATCCTACAACAAATATTAATTATTAACAGATGACATAATATAATATTCTTCCATTCATAAGGTTTCATCTGTTTACAAAAATGTAACACATGTAGTAATAGATTCATAAGTCTTAACCCTAAATCTATAGCCGTGTCAAAGACAGAGCTTGGTTACAACAAAAATGAGTTTATACTCAATACAAATAAAGCCTTAGGCTTGTACAAAATAAATACAATAATAAACAAAAATAGAAGCTCTTGGCTCCAAGTCCTCCCAAGTTATTTCCTTAGTGAAGGCATGTTATCAACACCTGAAAATGGTTTCCCACATAGGATGAGCCAAAACCCAGTAAAGATACTCTAACACAGTGTATGAATCTTAACAGAGCTATGAGATGAATCCATATGCAATGCCCATGCCAAAAATAAATAAATAAGAATTTATAACTCTTTCCAAAACCATGTA